CCAGAGGCTAGGATGCCCTCGTAGGAAGACGCCAGGTAGGAAATGGGTGAAAGGGACAAGGGACAGGAGCCAGGGAGGCCCCAGACAGCAAGGGGTGGGCGGTGTGACAGAAGCAGGGGACGCCCTAAGGGACCCAGAAGGTTTGAATTGTGAAGATGTCAATTCTCTTAAGGTAATCTTTAAGAATTCACATATTTTCAAACATTAGGTCGATTATCAACTGCAAAATCATTTCTGGAAAACCAGGATGAGAGCAATGGTAGGAGACAGACCAGCAGAGACGAGGGCCCAAGAAAGCGCTCCACGGGCGTGAGCGTCTCGAAGGTGACCATCACGTGGAGAGGGAGACTGGACCTCCACCTCGCCTGACCAGCGGTCAATTCCGAACAGACCAGGGACTGACCTGGAAAGCTTAAGGAAGTACGGGCGAGCCTTCCTACGACCTGGGAGGAAGAAAACACTCCTAGCGATGACTTGGGGTAGTAAACGACGCTCGTTAAATGTGACACTCGAGCCCCTAAGAATTGAGCAAGACAACCAGGTGGCGTGGACATGGTGTGGACACCGCGACAGCCAGTCCTCACACAGCCACTGCACAGTTCGAATCTCAGGCCGGGCGGGTGTGCAGATCCCGGAAGGATGGAAGAGAGTGCTGTGGGTAGTTCCGGAGGGTGAGCTCGGTCCTGCTGACCAGAAGCGCTGCTAGAGACACTGCTGGCTGACAACTGCGTGACGGCCGGGTGTGGCCCCGAACACCCTGGACACGTGTGCAGTCACCTCCTGCCCACCTGGGGGGGACGGTGAAGCGCACACACGCATCACGTGCACTGACATGCCGTGTAACCACCTGGGCTGGACACGCCGTGCTGAGACAAGCCGACACACACAGGGCGTCACGCTGCTGCCCGAGGAGCCGGGAGAGCCGCTGCTTACCCCAAGACACCCCGACGGCCGTAAAGGGAAGAGTGAGGCGCAGGACGGGGCCTGGGCAGCTCATCTCTGCGGCCGTGCTCAACACCAACTCGAGGGCGGACGGCAGGAGACGAAGACACCCAGCTAGCTCCAACTTCGCGACCACGCAAATGCTGACTGTGGATGTGGAGTGGCATGTACCACGTAAGGCCACTTTAGAAGGCTCCACGGAAGACTGGCCTGAGACAGCTTTCTGTCAGAAATTCAGAAGGTTTACGGCAGTAACGGACGCTCCGGTGAACAAACAGGGAGCTTCCCTCTGGCCACAGGAGACGGCGTCTGCCTGGGCACATTGAAGACCTCGGATTCGGGGCTGGCAGGTGGCGAGGTGGTTAAGGGTGCTGGACTCCCACAGGGCCGACCAAGGTTCGAGTCCTGGACCTGGTGGCAGAAGCACAGAGCGCACACCATTCTCACCCCCTCCTCTGTCCCTCTCTGGTCAAATTTAAGTGAATAAATAGTTAGATAAAAAAAAATTCTTAATAAAAAACAACTCTGAGTTCATGATGACACTACAAGACTCACTGACGACCACCAAGATGCCAGACTGCCGATCCACTGGAACCTGTCGAAGCGAAAAGGACCGATGGCTGCTTGGATTGCCCACTCACTGTGGGTGCAGTGACACTCCCAAGAAGGCCGGCGGGCGAGGAGGGACAGAGCCAGACCACCACCACCTGTAGTCCTCGCAGTGACCGTCAGGTGCCGACAGGGAGCTGGTGGAGGAGGGCTGAGGCTGGCCCTCCGTACCCGTGGAGGCAGGCCAGCAGCTGCGATGCCCGGAGTAGAGGACCCCAGAGGGTCCTCACCAAAGATGCCATGTCGGGAGACAAGTAAGGCCCTCTAATACCAGCTCACGGTGAGGCCCAATGGGCAGCAGCAGGATCAGCGAGGCCCACTTTTCTCAGCAATTCAGTGGCAACTGTGGGGGGAGGCTACTATAAAACGAGGAACCCGAGACTCTACCACCAGATGCCACACGAGACCTCGCGTGGACTTCAGCCGGAGACCGCTCTGGGTAACGCAGAGGTCTGACAGCCTGGGCTGCACACGGATACGCAGAGGAAGCGACTGTTCACCCCGCATGGCGAGTTAACAGCCTCGCAGCAGGCCGGGCGCGCACAGCCAGTCCACTGACGTGTCTGCAGGTGGAACAGCGCCTGGCATCTACCTAACGTGACCGAGAGGTGGGGCGGTGGCCCTCACAGGCCCCACACTGGATGTCCCCAGCAGCTCCATCAGAAAACGGGTGTGGCTGTCCCAACCAGCAGCACACAGCACAGCCTCACAGTAGCTCAGCCCAGCCACACTGACCAGGCACAACACCCTGACACCCCAGGAAGCTGCCAGGACCTGTGCCTATACCAGGTGCCAGGGCTAGACCTGCCCTCAGGCACACTCCTGCCTGCTATGCCCCTCAGAGCAGACTCCCCTTGAGCCACCCGTCCCACAGCCAGCTCCACCAGGCTCAGGGTTGGGGAGGCAGGTGGGAAGAGCCCCATTTCCAGATAAGCCCACCCTGTGCGACTGCTGTCATGGGACCCTCTCAAAGGCTACTTTCCTTGATCATCAAGCGTGGCCACTTAGGGAGAAACACAAAACACGCACTTGTCACAGCGGTCCTCAACACGCTCCAGAGGTTGAAGGAGCTGTCGAGGACCAGAGGGCTGGTGGGAGATCGAGCGTGGGTGTAACCGTCTGAGTGTCAGGCCTGGAAGTGTGTACGCACTGCACTGCGGCTGACCTACAGCTTGCGCCCCTTACGTGGCTCTCGCACTACTGGTATTTTTCCTTTTCAGCTCATCCACTCAAGGAACAAAGATGGCCAGGGTCCCAGTTCGGGATGCAGGCCAGTAGGCCAGTGCCTGGCTATGTGTTCTGGGCCTGCAGACCCAGACGCAACGAGCTGACCCGATGCAGCGAGCTCAGGTGGGCGCCTAGGACGCCAGAATGGCAGGTGCTCAGTCCTACCCCTGGGACCACAGGATGGCGGCCAAATCCGTGTTGGTGCCAGGAGTCAGCTACATGGCCCTGGTGCAGGCCTGGGGACCAAGACGGGGACACCCACCTGAGTCTGCAGCCGGGCGACGATGTCCTTCCGGGCCTTCATGACGGCATCCAGCTTCCCCGACACCATGATGGACAGGCCTTGGTCTTTGGCCAGGGACAGCTCCAGGTGGGCGCCCGTCCGCTGCATGATCTCCAGGCAGATCTTGGCTTGCTCACCTTCCCCAAACTGGTTCATGTCCTTGTACCGTCTCTCCTCCAGGGGAACGTGGAACACCTGCTCGGAAAAGGGCAGAAAGAGGTGAGACCGAAAGACTCACCTCCAGGAGCACTCCTGCCCACCACTGCTTCCGGCTGGGCGAAGCGGCTAACAGAGAAAGAAGCCCAACGACCAGGAGGCTGGCGCTCCCAGAGAGAGGAGCCCCTTGCAACACGAGGTAGGCGTGCCGAGACCACTGGGAAGGCTCCCCGGGAGGGAGACACGAGGAAACACGGGTCTGCAGGCGGAAGAGCAGACCAGGAGGCACCAGGGCCTGCTGCAGAGGGGTGGGACAGGGAAGGGTGGTGGCAGGAGCGAGCAACCAGCCAGGGCTGCCAAGAACGGGCTGCAGTGACCTTCCATGGAGCTCGGGCAGTGGCGGAGGGGTGTTCACATAGGCACCTAGCTGCCGCCCACACCTCCACTTGGCAGGGAAGGGCTGGCAGAAACCAGAGCAAGCGAAGGAGCCGCCACTGCTTCACGACAACAGGTGAGGCGGGGGAGGGGCTGGGGAAGGAGCGGGGGGGGCCGCGCCCCCC